ATCCATTTCCAGAATTTCTTTTATCATCACAAACAAATAATTCCCCATTCCGCTCTCCACTTAGCCCCTGATAACCTTTCTGTCTCTATGCATTTTTTTCTCCTAGGTACCTCACGTAAGTGGAATCATACTATATTTGCTCTTTCATATCTGACTTTTTTCACCTAACATAATATTTTCATTTCAAACCCCAACAGTGGGGGTTTAGTTATGATTTTCTCCGATTCCTTAAATCATGCACTAAAAGGGTCTCAAGGTTTTATTTGAAATTTTCTTTTTCTTTTTTATTATAAAAGTGATAGAAACTCATTCTAGAAAAACCAAAGTATTTTTTTTTAATTTTTAAATTACCCATAAACCACCCACTCAGAGTTACCCTGTTAACATCGGTCTGCACGTCCTTCCAGCGTCTGATTTTTGCACAAGGGTTTGAGATCTCTCCTGCTTTCCTATTGGGTTTTCCGAAAAGCGTTAAAGATTCTTGAGGTACTTTCCAAATATTTCCCTAGTCGGTGGAAGCATCACCCGAAGAATTCATATGTAATTTAAAATGTAACAATTTCCCATCAGGAGAACATTTATACTGACCAGGGCACCCCAGCAGCCTTCCCTGGGCGAGAGCGGCCCTGCAGATTCCACAGCAGGATCCCAACGGTTCAGGGGTCGGGCCCCTCCAGCTTGCGGCTCGGTCCCCTGCTATTATTTCTCTCAGGTTAAATTTCAACACGAGGCTATTTTGCACCTTGGCTTTTTTCCCATCAGTTGTTCACCTTTCTAAAAGAGAGAGAGGGATAAGAAACAGCTGCTTTAACACACAGACCCACATTTACTTTAAGCCAAAATCCCGTAAAAAGCGCATGAAGGAAAGCATGAGGATGTTCTGCGTTGCCGCCGCGGTCCTCCTTCCCACGGTCCAACACTGCACAGGTAGCAGAGAGCTCCTCTACGTCCTCTCTGGTCAAGCCACCGGCAAAAGCACGCGCAAGGACCAGCAGGTGCGGAGGGTGGGTCTGACCATACGGCCGGCGTTAACGTCAAAGTCTGCGCAGGATCCCCGAGCGACAGGTCCCCTTTCCAAATGCGGCTCTGAGCAGCTCCGAGGCTCTTGCAAATGCACTTCACATTCCCCCTCAAATCCACACCTGGGATTCCAGGCGCGAAAGGAACATTAGGAACCATCATTGAAGCTCCCTTCTGGATCTCCCTCACACGCATTTGCATTCCTGCTGAGGGCTGCTGAGCCTCGCTCCCTGCTCAGCCTGGGATGCCCTGCTTTCCCTCATCTAGGGTTTCCCGCAGTTACTTGGCACACAGCCTGGAGGCTCGGCCCTCCTTCTGCGCACTCCATACCCCCCTCCCCATTGGCCTCACCCTTTCTGCCCCTTGGGACTCCTCCACCGGTGTCTTCTGCTCCCCAAGTCCTTTCACATGTCACTGGCTTTGTGGTTTCTCTCAATCCCTCGCCTGCCCCTGCCCTGGGCCCCTGTGAAGAAAGAGGCCCCACCTTAACTCCCACTGCCCAAAGCCAGCACTCTCCTCTCTCCTTCTTGCTCTCTGGCTGGGCCTGAGAATCACTGAATCGCAGGAGAAAAGCACACACATGTCCATGGGAGCCCGACTGAAGAGCACAGACAGGACGGGCGACAGAGCAGGAAGCTGTCTATTCAGAGAGAAAATGTGTGAAGAATTGGCAAGACAAAGGAGTTTGGGCCGTGGGTCATAAGTCGTGAAGAAGGCATGAGGAAGATGCGCATTAGTTTAACAAGGTTTGTCTACACAGCCTTCTCAGCCCCAAATTCCCCGTCTCTTGTGGTGCGAGCGTCTTCTGCCCTCTCCGTAAGGGAAATGCTTCTGTCACGTGGGAGATTAATCTCCTGCTTTCAGGAGAACAGGGGGGTCGGGGGCCTTGCACTAGCTCTTTTGTAAGTATCTTTAATTCAAAATAATCAGTGTGCCAAAGTGGCATGTTTGGGGGGGCGACATATTCTGAACCCCTTCCCCATCTTCCCATGGATGCAACTTGCCTGCAGCCACTGCCTCATCGACAGGGACACCCTTAAAGACCACCTTCCCACCCCCCTCCCCAGGAGGTTTGGCTTTCTTTGTTTGATTCCATTTTTAACTGTTTTAAAAGGGCACTTAAGCAGCATATGCATTTACATTTTCCCTAATACCAAACCCAAGACCTCAGTTAACCATATGCTAGTTCATTGTACAGGCCATACTCAAACAGTCCCTCTTCTCTACCGGCTCTTTCCCATGTCAGTCCCCCAGATGACACTTCTTTCTGCTTCTCGGAGTCAGTATGGCTGCCCATAAAATGAGAGCTAAGGCTGGGTTTGATAATAGACACAAAATACATAATGGCTCAAACATGATCTTTTTCTTTCTTGTTTCTAGTCATATGGCAGCTCTTTGCCACTGACTAGGGACCCAGGCCCCTCTACCACCTCCTGACTCTTCCATAGAAGGGGCAAGAGCGTAGGAGGGGACACATTCTCTATTTAAAGCCTTGAATTGGCAAGACATACCAACTCCAGGCAGGCCAGGATTCAATGCAAAGGAACCTGGGAAATGTGGCCCAGTCCTGAGCTAGAAAAAGAGGAAACAACAACAACAAAAAAAAAGAATTTGGTGGATCAACTGGCAGGCTCCCAGGAGTAACCAGAGCACTTGTCTCTATTCACTCATTAACCATTCAGACAGGTTCCTCCATGTCAGGTTAAATGCCTGAATTTGAAGGTTATGGCCTAGCCAGGAAAAGCAAGGAAACACCTTCAAGGGGGAGTGGGGGGCGGGGGTAGTATATTTCCTCTGTGACATTTTAAAGTGTGAAATATCACTGAAGACTGTTAAGAGTCATCTAATCTGACAAGCCCTCTTCTTTGGGTTGGAAGGACTGAAGGACTTGAGGACAAAGGACTCAGGTGGCTCTGTATAGTCTGAGAGCTTACCACCTGGGTCACGGCAAAACCATACACCAGATCCACCTGGGCCCTTGTGTCCTGCAAACAAAGGCTCCCCACCGTGGTAGGTTTGAGTCCAGAGTTCATCCCACATGAAGTCGTATTTAGAGACTCCCAACCAGGGCAAAATTAGTAGCTGGAGCTCAGGCATGACCACTCTGGGCCACACACATCCCCACCTTATAGGAGTGCAGGCCTCTGCTTCCATTCAGATACCCCAACCACCTCCATCCCATCCTGAGTCTTGAGCCCAGCTGCTTCCCTTTGACTCCTGTCCTGGTCTCTTTGTTGGAAGAAGGAAACGGACAAGCAAAGTTTCTCTTTTACAAATGAAGGCTATTGGGGGCAGTGATCTCAAAGTCAAGGTTGTCAAACCAAACAGGAGGTTCTGCAGACCAGGTGCTGTCTCTTCCTTGTGCTGAAATATAAAAACAGATCTATGGGATTGATTTTTAAGGAAACTAACCAACCATGAACAAGGTTAATCTATAACTGAAGTTGGTACCACTCAGGTCCTCTCTGCAACTATTTTCTTATTCAGGTAAATGTTTTCTCAGCAGACTGTGCTTCTCCTTTAACCCAGGGGAACAAGTAGTTACCACAGAGAAAAATGCATGGCAGAGTCAAAGACTCAGGATGAAAGCCTGGGGTAAGAAACGGCTTATAAAACTTTTAGGAAGCTTTAAAATTATTGACTGAACAAGTAGTTTCATACAGTGGCTTATGTGTTTACTAGCAGTATCATTTCCAAATTTCCCTTGCACTCAGATTCTAGAAGAGTTTTCCTAATGCACTGTTAGCTAAAGACTGTACCAATGCATGAGTCATGAAGGCTGTCAGAAAGGAAATAACCATGAGCCAAAATTGCAGATGTTACATGTTGAGGCAGAAACTAAATAAAACGTGTAACACATAGAAAGAGAGAAAACTTTTCCCCCACATCTTTTTTTTTCCTAACCTTGGCATGAAATCAACCATTAGAGTATAAGGCATGCATGCTTATCAATATAAACCAGAATTTTTATTTTTCAGCTCTGAAATTCGGGTCACAGTTTGAAGAGCTCATTCAAAATTCTTTCCCTATATAAGGGGAGTACTACAGGCACAATTTAAGACAAAGAGATATTTATTATAGTCTGTTCCATGCAAGCACATAGCACATACATGGTTTCATTCAACTTTATAACAACCCTATAAATCTGGTGACATGATCACGATTTTGTAAATGTGGAAACTCAGGCACAAGGAATTCACATGATGTGTTAGTCTGCTTGGGCTGCCTGCCGTAACAGAATATCAGAGTGGGAGGTGGGGTTGGAGGTTTAAGATTAAGAAGCTGGCAGGATTCCTTTCTGTACACCTTGCTTGGTTTGGAAGACCTCTCTTCCTAGTTTGCAGATGGCTACCTTCTCACTGTGTCCTTACATGAGCACCTGTGTGCACCTACCCTGATGCATACCCCTGGTGTCTCTCCCTCTTCTTCTAAGGATACCTATTCTATTGGGGCTCCAACTTTATTGTTAGTTATCTCCTTAAAGGCCCTATCTCCAAGTGCAATCACATTGGGGGCTAGGTCTTCAACACAGATGGGAGGAAGGGCACAATTCAGCCCATAAGAGATAGCATGCCAAGAGTCCACAACAGCTCAGTGGCAGAACCAAGACAGTTTGAATTGAACTATTTCTTTATCCAGGGTGTGTTGCCTCTCCCATGTGATGACATCTCAGATGGAATGTCCCATGTAGGGGCTGACTCTTAGAACTTGCTGGAGGGAGACAGTTTCACAACAGTAAGCTCTGTCCTGGTGGGGAGGGTGGCGAAGTATTCACATGAGCTAGATTACAAGGCACCGGAGTCCATGTCAACTAAAGGCCTGTCCAGAGATGCCAAATAAAAATGGCTTCATCTATTCTGTTAAAAGCTACACAAATGCTATTTGGTTTCACTCCCATACACCATACACAGTGGTTTCCATGATCCCAAAAGAACCAGCATTTCATTCCATTTTTCTTTTTTTCCTTCCAAACTAACTAGCTAATGTCCTGGAGGGCGACTCCATGGATCAGGATGTTGAGAGCCCTGTGGCCATTCACCAGCCAAAGTTGCCTAAGCAGGCCAGGGATGACCTGCCAAGACACATCAGCCGAGACCGGACCAAAAGGAAAATCCAGAGGTATGTGCGGAAAGATGGGAAATGCAACGTCCACCATGGCAATGTGAGGGAGACCTACCGCTACCTGACGGATATCTTCACCACCTTAGTAGATCTCAAGTGGAGATTCAACCTGTTGATTTTTGTCATGGTTTACACAGTGACTTGGCTCTTTTTTGGGATGATCTGGTGGCTAATCGCATACATCCGAGGAGATATGGACCACATAGAGGACCCTTCATGGACTCCCTGTGTCACCAACCTCAATGGGTTCGTCTCTGCTTTTTTATTCTCAATAGAGACAGAAACCACCATCGGTTATGGCTACCGGGTCATCACGGACAAGTGCCCAGAGGGAATTATTCTCCTCTTAATCCAGTCTGTGCTGGGGTCCATTGTCAATGCATTCATGGTGGGATGCATGTTTGTAAAAATATCACAACCCAAGAAGAGGGCAGAGACCCTGGTTTTTTCCACCCATGCAGTGATCTCCATGAGAGATGGGAAACTATGCCTGATGTTCCGAGTAGGGGATCTCAGGAATTCCCACATCGTTGAGGCTTCCATCCGAGCCAAGTTGATCAAGTCCAAACAGACCTCAGAGGGTGAGTTCATCCCCTTGAACCAAACAGATATCAATGTAGGGTATTACACCGGGGATGACCGTCTGTTTCTGGTATCACCACTCATCATCAGCCACGAAATTAACCAACAGAGTCCTTTCTGGGAGATCTCCAAAGCCCAGCTGCCCAAAGAGGAACTGGAAATTGTGGTCATCCTTGAAGGAATGGTGGAAGCTACAGGTAAGGTGTGCTCCATCCTGGGTTTTCTGTGGGATCAATGTTCATTTTAAGCTGGATCTGACATACTTATTTATGATAAAATATGTAAATTGAATTTCATTCACTATTCACTCCATCCCCTTGTTTCATGAAATAATATGCCTATGTGTCCTCTAACCTTGGTGTACCCACCAAGAAGTCTAATAATTTAACTTTTTAAGAACCTTTGGAAAAAAAATCAATAAATAATTTTTTGAAAGCACCACTTATTATATTTTAAATTTCCAAGTATTTCCTTAAATTAAAATCTTATCCATCTCTGAAGACATTTTTAAGTGGCTCTAAAACATTGGTTAATTTAAATACTTGAGGTTATTTATTGGCAAGCCTGGGGGGAAAAGTTAAGCCTTTCAAAGGAAGCCTGACAAATTGCTTTAATAAAAATGTAATTTCACCTCTTCTTTGGAAGCCATTTGCAAGACCCATAGCACTGGCTTTTCTTTTATATCAAGTGCAGGTGAGGTGTCTTTCCACGTACTCTACCCGCTGAACCCCCAACTGACGTAACATTGTGGATCCAGTAAATAATTCTAGCAGGAAAGGAAAAAAATTGAGGATCCATTCATTGCAATCCTATTGACCCCTCTGCTATTAATGGCTGATCATTTGTGTGACCTGTCGTCAAAATAGAGAAACAGTCTGTTTTATTGATGTCTTCACTCATATCTGAACTTATAGTGTTAAACATCCCAACAGCAAGGCAGGTTCTGCCCATATTCATCAGTAACATTCCACAAAATAGATCCTTACATTCTGACTTAAGCTAAGAACAGTGCCCCACAGGAAAAGTATTAACTGGAACCCAAATTCATTATTTTCTTTCCTGTTCTTTGGAGTTATCAATATTAGACTTAAAATCTTCTTTAGATATGCAAGATCTGTGCTTTGAAGTCTGCCCTTCTGTGCTTTGAAGTCTGCAACCTGAGGCTCATGGTTCACCTATAAAATCCAAAAATACCCAGCCAACAACCTGGCCCCAGAGTCTTCTTCAGCCCATAAACTGATCTTGATCATTCCTTGAAAGTCATTTATCCCCTATTTCCACCTCCCAGTACCCAAAAGGCAAAGTCATAACATCTAACTAACTTCTCTTAGAGTGGTGGAAACATTTGTGCTAGGTTTTTTTTAAGTGCAGCAAACAATGAAAATGTGAGTAAAAGTCTTTGTATGGAGCTCAATGGTTGGCATGTGCTCCTTTCCATAAAACAAAAGGAACATGGACCTAATTTGAAATGGCTACAGAGAATAACAAAATAATTCATGTGAAATACTAAGAGCTGCTCATGTGAACAGGGCTATCTGTACCCTGAGTCTGACTGTCCCATGTACTCGTGAGGCAATGATTGTGTGTGAGGAGGAAGAAGAAAAGAGAGGAGAAGGAAAGTGAGAATAGAGGGGAGGAAAAAATCCAAAGGGGGAGCTCTGTCATTTTCTCACAGACCAGAAACTTCTCCCACCTCTGCTGAGCACAGGGACTCTGGATCCCCCTAGTGGTAGCCAGTGTGGTACACCTGCCAGCAGCATAAACTGACCACTCATGATGTGGTTTTAATATCAAATTTCTCACTATTAGTGATGTACTATATGTTGGCTAATTAAATTTAAATTTTCAAAAAAAGATTTGTCACTATAAACTCTCCCAGTAGGACATGAGGGAGGGAAGTGGACAAGCCTTCTTACCATCGTATCTCTGATTTCAAAAAGCAAAAGCTCCTGGAAATGTACCCTCCAGTTACTGGTGTTAATCTGAGCTTCAAATCGCAGGAGCTGAGCTTCATGCTCCCTCAAACCAAAGCCCGGTCTCGAAAAATAAATGAATCCAGAATAAGCAAATTATCTTTGTAATGTCCCTGAGTTGGAATTCTCCCTGAGGCAGACCCTGTCTTTCTGATGACAGCTTGTTATGAGTGAGGCTTTTTAAAAGGAGGAACACTGTTCTCTTGGTAATTAACAGTGGTACTTGCCTCAGAGCATTCAGAAGTCTTTCTTATTGCTTTCTTAGAGAAAATTTGGTAGTTGCCAGCAAAAAGAATCAAAATACTTATCCTGTGTCTGGGGAAAGGCAACTACTGTTAATTTTCTTTTAAAAAAATAAATAAATAATTTTCCAATTTCTGTTAAGTGGAGGGAAGAGTGTTCTAGAAAGTTCCGGGTTTGTCTGGAAGCTGGATATGTCTTTATCTTTTCCTGATGGAATTCATACAGTTCAGTACTCCTAGAATATCTGATCTCTTAAACTTCAGTGAGATGCTTTTTCTTTGTGAATGAGAAACCCAAATGGGATTTGTGGGTACCAAAAAGGCTTTTGAGGGATGGCAGAGGGAATGCTTCAAGGAGTCAAAGCCACAGGAAAAAAATAAATGTGGACCAAATGCACACCAAGGAAAACAAATTCACAAGGATCTAATTATTCATTGTAGCACTAGATGGGAAATCAGAAGCCTTGAAAACAGCAAGATGACACAAAACAATTTCCATTTTATTCATTCCTTTCCAAAATGTCTTAGTTGGCCTTAAACCACTATCACCAATCCCAATTAGCAGGCCTCTTCCAAGGACGAGCCCCACACCGCAACCTCACCACAGCGCTCTCTTCCTGGCACGCATGTTGTGATTACACAGTGATCCCAATATGGAAATCTGAGCTATCCTGCAGTAAGCTGGGTATCCACTGGGGTCCTTCAGTCTGCTGAGCGTCCTGGCCTAGCATAGGTCTGTTGGTGTTCCCTTGACATATTATATTCTCATGGCAGCTGTACTGCAGCAAACCCGCTGTGTTCTATCAGAGTCAGGTATGTTTTTAGCAAATGAGAGCAAGCTCCTTGAAGGCAGGACATGAGTCTTGCCGAACTTTAATGCCCTGCACATCTGGCCTCAACCCTCCACCTGATAAGTCCTCTAGCCTCATAAAAGACAGACTCACAAAAGACGCAGATAAGATACAGATAAGATAGACCCACATCCTTGGTGGATGGCTTCAGTCTGGTCCAGCCCCGAGTCAGAGGGATGTGCATGGTGACCTCTCAAGAACCTTCCAGTCATGTGATTCTATTTTTGAAAATGAATCAAACCCTGGAAAATTCTGACACCAGCCACCCAGACATCTGGGAACTGGCCGTATCTCATCCTGCAAATATATTTTTAAAGGGGGCCCTTTATGTTCCTGACACATGGGCAATTTTGAGATAGTGATGTTTACAGAAGGGTTCACAGCTACGTAAACAAACATGCTCAGCAGCTGTGGCAAATGCGCTTTAAAATAGTAAAGCATTCATATAGACTGTTATTTATAGAGGGCAAATTGGCCTGGAGGCTAGATGACAGCTACACAGAGCTGGGCCCACTGCCAGCCAGCTCCTCACTATAGCCTTTCTGATTGATGAACTTCCATATTTACCCCCAATGATTATGCAACTATGACAAGCAGTCCTTTCCAACACCTCAGCAAATGTGCCTGTTAGTTAAGATGAATCCCCATTAAGCTTTTCTCGTACACTTTTTATTATGGCTATCATAAAACTTATACAAGAGTAGACCCGACAGTAGGACTAACTCCCATGGACCCATCCTTCAACTTCTGGAGCTGGCGGTTCGCCGTCAAACCTGTTCCATCTGTACCCCCGCTCGCAAACAGCCCCGGGCATCAGACCGTTTGATCGACACATCTTTCCGCGCGTGTTTCTAAAAGACGAGGCTTCTAAAATAACCAGAGCACCGTTGTGGCCCCTAAAATATCTAAAATAATTAGATCTTTTCCTTAAGATCCAATACCTAGTGTCCGAGTTCCAACCGTCTCATAAATGCCTTTTTTTACTGCTTTCCCATCTGCTTGTTCGAACCGGGATCCAGAGGAGGCTCACGCGCTGCAACTGGTTGGGATCCCGGTCAAGCCTCTGAGTCTCTGAGCTCCACCTCCGTCTCCGAGGGGGGTTTCTCCTTCAACTTGTTCTCGAAGAAGTCCTCTTCACAAAGAAGAGAACTCAATACTTAAATTATGAAATTATTAAAAAATCATTAAATTTTAATAAATAAATAATAAATTGAATAATTGAATTAAATTATTAAGTATTAAGACTTAAATACTGCCCAGAAAACTGGGGGAAGTGGAGGGTGGGAAGCAGCCAAGTCAGGGCAGGTCTGTGAACACTGCAGATGAGGAAACAGGGCTGACGGCGCAGCAGCCTGCCGCCCGGGGTTACTGAGGAGGAGAGGAGTGCGCGTTCGAAGCTGGGGAGGGCAAACCGGAAGTGGGTATCCGCAAACCAGAAGTCGGAAACCGGAAGTGGGGGGCGCCAAATCGGAAGGAGTTTCTGTCTCTAAAGAAACGTGCTTGTGGAGAGGGTTTTGTTATCAAAAAATCAGACCGCCCATCACAGGAGTTCGAGCTGGAAGAATCTTCACCCAGTTCTTACATTACAGTAAGATGAGGAAATGAGACCCAAGCAAGATGAGTCGCTAGCAAGACTAGTACTTGGCTAAAGCCAAATGGCCGCTGTGAGAGTAGGAACTTGAAACCTAAGCTCAGTGGCGTTTACAGCCTCCAAGCCCAGTGCTTTCTGTGTGTTGAATGCTGCTGGCTCATGAGGATTCAACAGAAAAGCGCGCCCAAAGAAAACGGGGCGCTTCTGTTTGCACAGTGTGCAGTCAGTCTGTCCTCCCTTTTCCTGTACCATGAGTTCCTGTGTTTCTCTAAGGCGTCTCTGTTGGTCTCCAGTGTTACCATTTCGTTTTAAAACTCCTTATGCATTCACGTGGATTTTTAACAGCCGCATGTTAAAATGAGACATGCTACAAAACAGCACTGGAATGCAAATCATGTAAGTGGTGTCTACACAAATACCCCGGAAGAGTGCGATGTTCTGTCAGATCGGATTTCCAAGTGCCATTTTTCTTTGCTGTGATCAAAATGCCACTTCATTATAATAGAGGAGAATATGAGATCACAGATTTTGAAAAGGTGG